CATCATCAGTAATAGCTCAAAGGGTAGCAGCTGGATTGCTGGGAACCACATCCCTCGTCGGTGGTTATTTTTACCAAGAGTTTCAGTAATATCATCTCAGTGCAGCCTTAGTCATGGGCCTGGGTTCCAGCACACTAAATGTTTCACAAATCCAGCATCAAAATGTAGAGTCCAGTGATGGTTCCTGCCCCTAACAGCTGATGTGCTATCTGTGTGACAAATGACAACAAGCAGATGAAGGCTGGAGGTAGAGTCCACTGGAATAATGAAATTAAACTCATAAAAATGACAGACAGGTCTCTTGGCTCTTCATCACTTCAGAAATTTGCTGTCAGCTGTTTTGGTAGGCATTGCAAGAAACTGTTTGTGAAGGAGAGGTTTGAAAAAGTGGGTATCACAGAGAGTTCTTCCCCAGTGTGAGAAGCAATATCAGAGAAAACCCAAAATGCTCACATGGGCATTTAACAAATGGAAAGAAATGTTGAAATCACTGTCCAGTTTGATGTAGGCATCAGTTTCTGCATAAGGACTAAGAGCTGCCAGGTGAGAACAGGCTATGAAGAGCCTTGACAGTGAAGAAAAGCAACATCTCCTTGATAAGCCACAGAAGGGATAACAAGAAAACATGCAAAGAGAAGAGGTCAGCTCTGCTGAGAAGGACCTGGGGGCTCCTGGTGGACAGCAGCTGGGCATGAGTGCGCTCTGGCAGCAAAGGCGGCCAAAAACATCCTGGGCTGTATCAACAGGAGCAAAGCCAGCACACCGAGGAGAGTGATTATCCCTCTTTACTCAGTGCTCATTAGACCGCATCTAGAGTACTGCATCCAATTTTGCCCCCCCCAATACAGGAAAGACATGGACAAACGAGCAATTTCAGCAATGGGCCACCAAGAAGGTCAAGGGGCTGAAACACTTGCCCTGTGAGAAAAGGCTGAGGGAGCTGGGTTTGTTCAGCCTCGAGAAGAGACAGCTTCAGGGGAACCTAACAGAAATCTGCAAGTACATATAAGGAGGTCATCAACAAGATAGACCCAGGCTTTTCTCTCCCATGCATGGTGCGAGGATGAGAGGCAATGGATGTAAGTCAATCAAGAGAATTTCAGAATGGATATAAGAAACAACTTTTTCACCATGAGGACAGTCAACCAGCGAAACAGGTTGCCCAAAAAGCTTGTGCAGTTTCCATCTTCAGTGGTTTTCAAGATCCAGCTGGATAATGTCCTGAGCAACCTGGCCTGACCTCAGAGCTGATCCTACTTTGAGGAGGAGGTGGGACTACAGATCTCCTGAGGTCCCTTCCAACCTGAATTAGCCTTAGATCCTAAGACTATGAAGGTGAATGAAAGCCAAGGTAAAGATGTGGTGGGAAGATAAGACAGGGTACTCCTTTGATTCCCATATTGCTGTTCCTAGCACACTGAACTAATACAGGTAACACTCTTCAACACCTTCCCATATCTACACTTCTGTACAGTGTCAGACACAACCTCTCTTTTAAACAAGAGACAGACAGTCTATAGAACCAGTAGCTGTGGTAAGTATCCTCACTCAGGTTTTACTTGGGGAAATAAAAAGCTAAGAATAGCCAGAGAAAGAAAGCACTGAATGTGTTTGGAAAATTCATTTCCTTGAAAGGCTGAGCACACAGATCCAGTTGTGCTCCAGTGAAATGGCATGTGTGTCTGAGCATCTGTTTACTATACCATATGATGAAAAAGCCACTATGTTACTCATTTGCAGTTTACTGGTATGTAAGCTGCTTATTTTTTAGACCTGGACTTAAAAGTCCACAAAATTAAATTAGGATAGGATAGCATTGGATATACCAGTTTTCATCACTCGTCTTCTGTTTTTGAGGTATGCCTGAGTTTTGGAGAGCTGCTGTTTCAATCATTACTCTCAGACAACACGTTCCTTGCTTTCAACACTACCCCCCACCCCCACACCGAGACTGATGGTAATACTTTAAAGTGCAGAATTGCTTTAATTGCTTCTGGTCATAATTTTTGTGGTCACTCATACTTCTTGATTTTTCAAAAGGAGATCAAGAGTAGATGTGCACAGTATAAAGTCTGGGAAGACTTTCTGATTAATTTAGAAAAAGACTTTTGCATCACTCTCAACGTTTTTTTGCCTTAAACCTACTCTCCTTTTCTGTGTCTTTCTCCTCTTCCCCCTGTTGGCTTTCCCCCCTCCCCCCCCCCCCCATCTTGTTTAAACTTTCTCTGTTTGGCCCCAGACTTTTTCATATTGCCTCCAATGCCCAAAGTACAGCTCTCCTCTCTTCTACCTTCCTCTTACTTTGTCTTATCTCAGTGTTTTGTTTTTTCTTGTATCCAGCCTCATGTGACTGTCCATCCACTCTCTCTCTCCCCTCATTTCTGAGCCTCTATTTTCTTCTTTCCTTCCCGTGTTTTCAGGCAATTGTCTTTAGTTGAGAATGGGAAGTCCTGTTTACTCTCCAGATGCTTGCTTGTTGACTTTCTTTACCCAAGTGTTAATTAGTAAAACTGGCTTGGATCAAAGATTTTGCAAATAAAGTTTATGGTTTGTCAGATTAAACTCTTATTGCTTATAACAGCCATTTTGAAAGTTTCCTCTGCTTCAGCCCTGCAAGGCGCTGATCACTCTCAGTTGGATCCCAGGAAGTACAGAGATCTCTGACCTGAAACTATTTAGGCATTTAGGTTATGTTTGACTGAGCACAGGAACTATCCCATTGATTTAAATGGGACTACTCGCAAGTTTAAAGCTCAGCGTGTGCTTCAGTACTTTGCCTCGCTGGGGCCAGAGGGCTCAGGTTCCTAGAGCTTCAGTACCAGCACTGGCTACAAACGATACGAGATATAACATCCTGATGAGAGAAGACTTGATGATCAAGTGATTTCTAATCCAATCGTGCAGCTTAGTGCAGCATCTCTGCAATGAAGAAGATATTTTTGCCTTCTTTCCATGACTATTCGACACTAAAAAAAAAAAAAAAAAGGAGCTTCACAATGTTCTGCAGAGTATACAGACAAACCTGAGATGATAAACGGCACTGTAAAGGTTTTATTGACATTCATTTAAGATGATCTACGTAAGTCACCCATAAGAAATTCAACCTTCCCAAAGTCATGCCAATAAAATGTTTATGCTACACCACCATCTATTCTCTCTTGTACCTCCACATGCATACACACACATTATATATCTTCAATTACAGTAAAACTAATTAGACAATAAATCACAGTTGAGGCTGTACCTCATTTGTTCAGACATCCAAGTTAAATTTACATACTAATGCTTGCGTATTTGCCTTTAATAGATGCACTATTAGAAAGTAAACATAATAAATGAATAACCATTTAAGCATGGAGTTACCTAATCTTGATGAAAAATATCTGAAAATGTAGCAGCCAGTGAATCTATTTACTTTTTTATTGGAAAATAAAGCTAATCACAGACTAAGAAGATAAATATAAATTATATGGAGTAGCATACTAATGATGGATCAGACAGACCCACCCTGTGCAGTGAACGTAATAAGATCAAACTGTTTGAAATTGCTGGCTTATATATTAGATGCTCTCCTTCTCAAGCATGGAATAAAGGATATAGACTAAGACGGTTTAATTTGCAAAAGTTTCCCCTTAGACCTGCCAGTGCATTTTATTTTCGGCATCTTCTAAAGCTTCAGGACAAGCTAAGTCTCGCAGCAACCATCAAGTATGTGAACAGGAAAGATGCACAGGGATGATGACCGTCTCAGAAAACTGAAAAGTGCACAGTAAGGTAAAAAAGTGGTACTGTGTAACTGCGTGACCAAGAAGGCGCAGTGAATAGTGCAAACTGGGCTACTGGATAAATCCTTTGTCATTAGAATAGGGGCTTAATCCCTATGGCACACTGAGCAAAGGCAAACGTGAGGCCCAGCCTTTGCTGTCTTGCACAGGAGAAAGATGAGCTGACTTTGATTTCCTTTCCCGTATAATGAATCACTTTTTTCCACCCAACTACATCTTTCTGAAGATACACTTTTTCTCATCTCTGCTAACCTTGACTGTTCACTTTTCAAAGCAGAAACAGTGTCCTAGGTTAGGGCCACATACATCATTCTGGCTAAAGCTGTGTGGGAGGTGAGCAGTGTCAATTCAAGCTGCTTGTCAACCCTCCTCACTCCACTGCCAAAGATTACTAGCCCCTCAGGTCTCCCAGCAGAGCTGCTCTAGGAGCTTTGTCTATCCTGGCGCCATCAGAATGATCCTGATTAGAAAGTCTGTTGTTTTGAGTATTGAAGCTAACAGGTTATTATGAAGGAACTGAGTTTGGAGAGACTGCATGTGCCAGCAGATACAAGGAAGGAGCAGCCCCCGGAGATGATGGAAGGGGGTGGTAAAAAGTAGGTGGTGCTAGGCTTATTGCAGATATTGCAGAAATGAAGGAAAGAAGAAGAAAGCAACTCCCATAATCTGACAGAGGGAATCTGATCCAGGTTCCCTTTGTACCAGTGCTTCCCTTAGAACATCGTGAACATGCTTCTGCTTGACCTCAGTCCGGGCCACAGGGTTCATCTGCAATCGAAATAAATAATTATTTAAAACAACAGCAGCCACAGCCGCCAGCAGCATCAAATGAAAGTGACTTTGCAAGGAGAGAATGCATCAACAGTCAATTGACATGACATGCCACTTGCTCGCTGTGGCAGCGAAATGATGGAGGTTCCAGGAACCATCCTGCCGCCAGAGCCCATTCATCTTAATCAACACCTCTGGGGACACCGCACTTCATCTGAACTGTGAGTGCCTTCCTTCCCTAAACGTCGTTTCATTTTTGTACCTTTGCTTGAGAGTTGTCAGTCCATGGACACATCTTGTTTTTGTAAGAACGCTGGCTCAGCATGAACCGGAAAGTGATTACATGCAACTATGCTCAGACACCTGACGAACACAGATGTAACAGAGTGTACTAGATCAGATCCAAGCCATTTGTTTTATTACATTACACCTTGCAGGTGCTTAGTCTTTCCTGCCCTGTCCATCCTCAGCCTTTCATTTCACAGCCTAAGCAGAAGCCCTGCATAAGTGATTGAAGGCAAGTTACCAGCCTCTGATCCCCCACACTGCTGTGACTTGTGTCAAATTACAGCTAGAGTGATTTGGTAATCCAAATCAATGCAATAATCTGATCTGTGGGGAGCAGCACTCTAACACTGCTGTGCTGAGTGGCCACAATGGCACAAGCACTGTCAGCTTTTCCCAGAAGCTTTTTGACCTACTGAAGCCTACACGCATATATTGAGCAACTGATGACACAGGGAAAAATCTGACACATTCAGGCTGTTAAAAGGCACAAAACATATACTTTAAGTCCCAAGAAACTGCTCCAATTAAATTCCATTTTTGAACAAGAGTATGTTTAGCCCAGCTATTATTAAAGGTTGCTGCTATGTAGTGTGGACTTCATGCATTTGAAGAACATTTTAATGAACAGAAAGAAAAATATTTATGTTGGTGGATAATATTCAGATTATAAGAAAGGATGGGAGGAGTATCCAAAGGTTGAGAGGTCTATCTCAGTTAAGTACATAAAGCATGGACATTTACCCAGGCCTTCTGAGGCTGCAGGATTCAATTTGTCTAATGAAAGGCTCTCAAAACACCTGGTCTGCCTTGGTTCAGTTCAGTCAGGCTGAAAAGTACTGCATGGACTTGCATGTAGAAAATTTGACACTTTTTTAATATCCATTGAGATTTCTTACAACATCAACACTGGAAGACAGGCTAAAAGTTTTCTTCCAAATACAATATGAATAAATCAAAATCATGTGATTCATTAATTATGACTCTTTAGAAAGTAGACAGCTGCAGAAGGTCTGCTAACTTGGTTTTACAGCATACCTGAAAAATACCACAGAACAGAAAGAAAGAAAAACTGGCTTACTAACCCCCCATCACCCGAGATCTTATGGTATCACCAAAGATTATTTCACAGTATTCTCATTCGAAGGGTCATTAACCCTTTAAAAAGCAATGCCAGTATGTACTAGAAGTATGTACAGTATTGAGCTCAAAAAAGCTCAATGTAAGATACCAGATGAAAGCTGGATACAGACTTCGTTTTAAACAAAAAACCAAGCTTGCCTCTAGTCTCTTATATTCAAAGACAGAGTTGAAAAATATAAACTAAGAGTTAGGGAGAATTATTCTACCAAAACTGAACATGGGACATTGTTGTGGTTTAACCCCAGCCGGCAACTAAGCCCCACACAGCCACTCACTCCCCCCCCAGTGGGATAGGGGAGAGAATTGGAAAGATAAAAGTGAGAAAACTTGGGGGTTGAGGTAAAGACAGTTTAATAGGTAAAACAAAAGCCGCGCACACAAGCAAAGCAGAACAAGGAAACCATTCACTACTCCCCATGGGCAGGCAGGTGTTCAGCCATCCCCAGGAAAGCAGGGCTCCATCACGCGTAATGGTTACTTGGGAAGACAAACGCCATCACTCTGAATGTGTCCCCCCCTTCTTTCTTCTTCCCCCAGCTTTGTAGGCTGAGCATCACGTCATATGGTGTGGAATGTCCCTTTGGTCAGTTGGGGTCAGCTGTCCCAGCTGTGTCCTCTCCCAGCTTCTAGTGCACCCCCAGCCTATTCACTGGTGGGGTGGGGTGAGAAGCAGAAGAGGCCTTGGCTCCGTGTAAGCACTGCTCAGCAATAATGAAAACATCCCTGTATTATCAACATTGTTTTCAGCACAAATCCAAAACATAGCCCCATCCTACCTACTATGAAGAAAATTAACTCTATCCCAGCCAAAACCAACACAGATATCCAAGTTGGGTGTGTGTATGTATGTGTTAAAAGGGAAAGGAAAAAAAAAAGAAAAAAAAAGGAAAAAAAGGAAAGAATGTCCCTAAGAAATGCTTGATACCAGAGCAAAAATCTGTTTCTAAAACATTGGCCATATCCTTTCATTAGAAGAGAGAAAGAAAAGACTGAAAATTATCCATCTTTCCACCTCTGCTGCGCCTCTCCCATACCCCTCATTCTCCCAGTCTGTATACTTTTCATTGGGCTATTTGTTGGGATACGACAACTGCCAACACATTAATATGATAAAGCAGTAGGTAATGGCCTGGTAATATTACTCCAGTCTTTCCCTTTGATTGAAGTTAGAGCACAGTGGCAGCTGACAATTTTTTTTCCTTGAAGTCGCCCACCTATTGCATCATACCTCCTGATTCATGTTATTACTTCAAAATGTATTTCAGCCAGCAAGCCTCAACTTCATGACTCTCTCTACATCAGTTCTGGGTTGTAGAACTTTTCTCCTTGTTCCAAGCTGAACCAATGCCAGCTGAAACCAACACTGCTCAGCAAGAAGAAATGCTTAAAGACCTACCAAGACCTTGTCACCAGTCTCCTATTGATGACACAGACAGTTACCCAGCAAAACAGTGCAAAACCATGTGCTCCCAGTGACTCCTGCTCAGCTGTTACCAAACAGCATCAATTTAAAAAAAATTTCTTTCACTTTTAGCTTCCTAGAAACCGTGTCCTTTCCTCTCAGCCTTCCACAGTAACCTATGCCTCTGTCATCTTCAGATCAGTTCACTACACCTGACTTTATCTGAAGCTGAACATGAAAATGATACGCAACTTAGAGAAGCCAGACAGCCCTCTCTTTGGCTCACCTTCAACATCAGACCATATCATTCTGACAATCTGGGCCTTTCACCAAAACCCCAATCTACTGCTAATATCAGTTTGAGGCTTGGATCCACAATTTTAAAGCAAGCAAGAAATCTCATCTTGGTTCCATCAGAGATCAGATCGCAATCTATAAGCCAAGTCACAATCCGTACTCCTCAGGAGCAATGCCAATCAGAAAGATATGGGCTGAAAAGGAGACTTGAGCACTCCTTATTGAAAAGAAGAACAAACATTCTGCAGGAAATCAGGGAAACTCACAGGCAGACCCACCCTCAGGAACAGTGGCAAAAACCTGTCTTCTTTCTGTAAGTGATAACTACAATCTGAATACCTCAATGCCAGTATCACAAAAAAAAAACCACCCCAAACAAAAAAATCAAACCAAACCAACAACAACCAAAAAAACCTCACCAAAAAACCCCAACCCCCAAACCTATCCAAACACCATTTTGACTTTTTGACTCTACCAGAGGTGTGCCAGAATTGCCATGAATTAAAAAATGGATGCTGCTACTGATTTCATGTGGAGACTGCTCAAATATCATCTGAGCATTATCACTGTTGATTTCCCCTTTTATATTTTCAATTCTTAAAAAACATAATCAAGCTGTACACAATCAAAGCAAGGAAAATGGTAAAAGGCAGCAGCAAAAAGCGTTTTGCTGCTTTAGTACCTCAGACTTCGTCAAGCATCTACACAGCCATGTCAGCTCAACTATCCCAAAGTGATACCCCCAAAGTGAACCTTCCTGTGCTCGTGCTGAAGAGTATTAAGGAAGTAGCATTTCCACTCAATCCAGTTATGCTTGATTACTTTGCAACTACAAAAAGTACGACAAGGTTTCCAACTACAAAAATCACCTCAAGTAGAGGAGTTACAAAAGAAATACAAGCTGAGCCTGCACTCTCCCCCGACTATCACCTGTAGGAAAGAGCTGACACATTGAAGATGGCGAGGCACATTCACAAAGCATTTTGCCAAAGTTTGACAATGCAACTCACATTGACTTCAATGAATGTAGAGTGAAAACAATGGGAAAAATTGGGAATGTATTACAATATTTGAATGCTCAGCATCAAACACATTTTTATAATGAAACAGAACTATGGACACAATTCAAGAACACCCAAACCAGACACAGGCCTAAATCAATCCCTATTCTGGATAAATTTAGAAGTTAAATATGTGCTTAAGTATTACTCAGAAAAGAGATATTCACTGGGTATCAGCAGCAACTCACATTATCTGGCTGATATCATCAGAAGCTGAATTTTATTGCATTATATCAGAGCATCATGACAGCTGGAAAGCTGTTGCTTTAAAACCTAATCTGTTAATGGCACAGAATTTTAATTACGTGATATTCTCTAGGGCTACACACACTTCTTACTGACAGAAAGTTATTATCATATATATATATTATTTTACCTGGAATTTTATTTTTTGCCAAATGTGAGGCACAATAAACTGCTTCAAGAAGCGTTCATCTTCACTCCAGAACAGTCGGATGTCAGGGATATCGTACAGGATCATGGCCAGCCTCTCCAAACCCAAGCCAAATGCCCAGCCAATTTTATCCTGCGCACCAGCTGCAATAAACAAACAAACAAGATAAAAATTCAAGAGCTTAAGTTCAGAACATGAAAAACTGCTGATAAAATGTTCACCTATTTACCAAATAATAAAAAAAAAGAGTGAAGTGGCAAGACAGAAAAGCCTACAAGTAACTGCCAAATGAAAGATCTAAAGGCTATAGGACAGAACATACATCCATCAAAAACTGCAGCAAGATGGGGCCTATCACTGAGTCCAGGAACTAAAAGTGGTAATAAAATAAAGCCGCACCCTTGGCAATTTGCATCCAAAGTTTCAGACAGACTTTGAGAAATGCTGCATAATGCTATACACTGCTCCCCTTTACTATCCTTAGAGCTGAGCACTTCACACCTGACTCAGTTGTGTTTTATAAGGCATGTAAACATGAATTTCCTGTTCAGAATATTTCACTTGGGTTGACAGACCAGGGCAAGCCTATGCAGCACTAACTTCATTACCAACAACTGAGAGGATCAAAATTGCCTCCTTCAAGGCACCTAGAAGAAACAGAGCAATGGGATGTGAGGCGCTGTTGCATTAGCATCACACCTCCAACCAGGGAACTCCCGGGCTGCTGCCCCTGGGACAAGCCACTGCTCCCACATATGCAAGTCACTTATGCAGCACTAAATATAAAAAGACGAGAATATTTAATACAGTAGAGCTGTACAGATATTAACGATGCAACATTTCTGTCAGGAAAGTAAATATTCATACCTTCCTTCATTTACAGGGCAGGAGCACTGAGTCATTAAACAGGGATTTTTTTCAACACCATGTTTAGCCATCGTCCTACTGATTTTGAAACAAGCTGAGAGCCCAGCAGCTCTGGCAAAGGCTCAGAGCTTTTTAAAACTTAAACAAATGCCTAAACACACACACTTATGCTGAAAGGATGCGTGCACGTGTGACAGACTTGACTCTTCACCATCAGCACCGGCAGTGTGCTCCTGAGTCATATAATATCCCTGTACATCTCACAGCTACCCAGCTAGACCAAGGCCATACCTGCCTCCCCCAGTATTAATTTAAACTCTAATTTTTTTGAAGCTTTGAACTCAGCAGCTTCCCCGCCATCATGCAGGTGGCTGGAGGCAGAATTCTTCTTTCTGACCCGTCTCTGCTACCAGAAAGGAGGCAGCTCCTGTTATTTGGGCGTTGATGACATCCTGAGGTATGCTGTCACGTTCAATGCCGAGACGAAACAGTCCAGAGTCCTGTTTAAATAAAGCCAAGCATAACAAGCTTGGGAAAAGAGACACAATCATCACTTTGATTCTTTTAATTAATTTGAACCTGCCTATTTACCTGGAATACTAAGTCACCAGCAGAACCCATCCGAGCCTCATCTGCTATCTCAGAAGTATTGCACTGCCACAGGAATTTGGTCAACTTTATAAAAGTACTCCCCAGAGGAGTATGGATATTTTGCCTTGTCCCTTCTCCTGTGCTCATAGGCAAGATTTTGCACTTTCTGACCTTTGAAAGCAGACAGTTTATCAAGTGAATTGTGGAAGTCCTAAGAAATAGAGGACTGGGTGTGAACTCAAAAGGAACCTCATGGCAGAGCTGTTCAAACTAGTATGCTTAGACCAACCAACAGACTCTAAACTAACCTGACCTTGGAAACCTACAATCCATGCTACATTACATGAAGAACTGTATGATTTGCTGCTGTTGATTGAGTTTTTACAGAAAGGATAGTAACTACACAGAATGTATTGAAATTTGTGTTTGGGAAAGATTTTGAGCTTCAACTTTAAGTGTAAACTATAAACTGTTTCTTTTCCAAGCTGAAAGTACTATTTCTCTTCATATTCCAGTATATAAAAGTAATTATATTTTTATGGCTATGAAGAAGGGAATATAATTCATTGCAATGGTGTTGCTTCCCCAAACTTCCAGCTTGTCTGTCTTAGATCATCAACTCCTGCCTCAGTAGTAAAACTCCTACTCATTTCAAAAGTGCCAGACTTTCATATATGTATGGACATTACTGTAGACTGATTAACACAATCCAGAGGTGAAGTCGAGCACCTGGAGCAATATCCATGAGGGTTCTGAACGGCCACTGCTTAATCTCAACAGCGGTATTAAACCTGAAACCTAAAGATGCCAGGTTAAGCATCAGTGTTAATTAATTCACTGATGCTCATTTAAGTGTACATGATAGGGGATGATGATCCTCCTTCCCCACATTACTGATGATTACTGATAGAATGGACAGGGAGAAAAAACCTGATATGACAGAAGATCAGCAGAATGGGTGTATATTCTGACAGGCAGAGCTCTACATTTAAGATTTGTACTTTTTTATTATTTTGATATAAGAATGGTTTTCGTTGCAACTCTTTGCTCATGCTTTGAGGTTAATGTACAATATTTATACCTAATTGATTTGCTATGCATTTTAATTCTGCAATGAATGCTTTTATTTTATATCAGCAATTGGGGTTTTTTTTGACTGGGACGCATCATGCTTTTTTGCACTATGTAGCAGACAAAAAATTATTTAACCAGCAGTGTGCCTAGCAGCTCAGAGCATTGTCATCTGAGCTATGAATAAACACGTAGTCGCAGAACTAGTCTTTTGGATGATCCTTGTACAATTATCAGCCTTCAGACCACAAACTTCTCAAATGTCTGCAGTCAAAGCCGTACCACTGAAGAATTCCCTTTGCTCAGAGGGGAGAAAAAAAAGAAAAGAAAAGAAAAGGGAAAATGCAGATAACTAGAATTCCTCCTCAAATCAGCACTGGCAAAACTCCACTGCACTCCACATCTTCATTTATTTTGTCTCTGATCTCTTCTCCAGCTTCCTTGTTGGAAAGCTCCAAGTCAATGCAGCATTTAAAGATATGATTGACTTAAAGGATTTGAAGAATTACCTTGGGGAACTCAACAAGACTAAAGCACACCCTTAAACTTATTTCTGACTGGAAATAACCAGATGGCTTAAAAGTTAAACTTGCAGCTAACCACTCTGTTGAGTGAGAGCAACCCAAAGCTTTTCACAGCACGTATATATGTTTAAATACACTGAATTTTGGCAAGTAGTATGCAAAGAAGTCAAGTGAATGTGAGTCCACATGACAGAATGAACACAGAATAGTTTTCAACGTGGCAAAAAAACAGGTTGAGGTTCTGACGAGGAGATCTGGCCAAAGCAGCAGATTCCAGAGACCTGGTGGGGCAATCATAGCATCACTGCTTGAAATAACACAGCCCAATGGATAAAACTTTCCTGACACACGAGCTTTCCCCAACTGGTCCTCAAAGGTTTGTACACTGCCAGGCTCCTACTGCCTCACGTGAAAAACTTGACTACCCACCAGGAGAAAATTGGTGGAAGCTTTGCATGTCAGGTAGCCAACGATGGAAAAGGAAAGGATAAAACAGTTTGACTGGCTTCCCACACTGGGGGCTGAGACAATCCAATCTGACTCCAGGAGAAGGTTGCATCGTCGCAACTGTGTCTTACAGGGGAGCTCAAGAGTCTTTATCTTCCTTGAGAAGTCATCTATCTGTCCTGCTCTTAAGCTTCCAGCCCAGATGAATCAGTTTACACTTAAATGTAGACCAATCAAGCCATTCTCCAAAAAACATTGTTAAATGAAAGCTAAATTTGATCAGCCAGGATGGGAAGCTTCGTAACTACTCACTGAGGCATATATAATGACCTGCCAGAACTCATGGATTACCACTGAATCCTCAGAAATACCCACAGACAGAAACATTTACCTTCTCAAGAAGCGTGACGCAAGACATTTTGCACTGTACAAGATCAAGACATTTTGCAATGTAGTGTTAGGAACAGGCTGGCAAAACTTTTTTGTTATACACTTCAGTCACACTTATTTTTATATTTCTGCTGGCTTTTATTTAACAATTTTCGCTACGCCTGTAAAACTGCCAATAAAGAAATCTTTCTTTCAATAGAGCATAAATTGGTTCTTTGAATTGTTATACTCAGCAGTTACCGAGAAGTGAAAGAAATTAAATTTTGATCTTGGATTGGGACAAAGTCAGGAGCATACAACAGCCCGCATACAAGGTGTTCTTCACAAAATGCCCAAAAATGAATATACACAAAGTGTGTGTAGCTGAAAGCTGGGATGAGTTCCAGAAGCAAAGACCTGAATTTGATCTCCCACTTTCAGTCCAAACCATGGCTGTCAGTGGAGCAAATTCAGGAAACTAAAACAGTGGGAAGAGGGGTGAACAGATTCTCAAGGATACACAGACTACACATCAGGTTTTATAAAACAAATCAGTGCTTTAAACTGTGTAGAAAGTAAGTTATAGACATAATGAACATGTGACTTGACATAAAACATCAGAAATTCCTGAAGCAAAGACCTACGCCCATGTTTGAGCTCTATGTGATTAATGGACAGCTTATGAACAAGACTTTGAAAAACAGCTTCTGCAAAATAAATATTTACTTATAGCTAGAGACAAGGAATGCATATTCTACATGAGGGCCACAGCAGTGAGGTAAACCATGTTTACCCATGTTAAAAATAAGCCATTTTAAATTATTTCCTACTTCAGATAAAACTCCCTTATGTTGGGAGTCAAAGGTTTTACATGGGAAAAAAAAATACTAAGGTGTCAGTCTAATACAGAAGAGCTTCCGAAAGTGCAAGGTCAGGTGGCTGGGATGTTAAGCAACTGAGGCCAAAAAGCTTACTGAGGTTTCCTTCTGAACTGCTCTCTTCAGCAAAAGCAAAAATCAAAATGTCATATTATTCTCTAACTCTGTTAAATTGATGCATTCAGGCTCCTGTGTGCAATTCAGTTTAAATTACCTCCCAAAATAAGGACTTGGCTGTCAGACTATGCATGCTAAGTAAGCCACTCCTCAAGAACTCAAAGAAGAAGTAAACATTCAATTATGCTTATTCTATGGAAAAAGAACTTATCTTTCTAAATCTCATATGTGGAGTAATTTTCTAACAATAATAGTCACTTTGAGACCACGACTTTGTCT